CTCTTCTTTCTTTCCATGTAAATTCAATAATAACGATTCTGTAATAACCCAAGCAGGTTGTCAAGTTAATTTAGATTCTTTTCCCTCAAAATCCTGCTCAATGACCTTCGTACCATTGTAAAACCCGCGCCTTTCACACACTTCAAATATATACACACGTAGATATAATGATTTTCCTTCTATTGTATTGTAATTATACTTTGGTTAATTCTACTGAATCTTTTCTTTCATAATAAGTGTCTAAATTCTTTTCGTTATTAATAAATGTATATGGATTGTAAAAGTATTACTATTCATTTTTTAGAATTAGATAGCACAAGTAATCGAATTTAATTCTATAAGAATTCGCGTGTTCGAATTCTTGTAGACTTCAGGATGTCTGTGCAAAAAGAACTTCATAAGAATTCAAGTAATCGAATTTAATTCTATAAGAATTCGCGTGTTTGAATTCTTGTAGACTTCAGGATGTCTGTTCAAAAAGAACTTCATAAGAATTTGTTTCTCAAGATTAAAATGATCGAAAAATATATGTTCTGTAAGACTTCAAAAGAAATATCGATACAGAATTCTTCAAGAAATGTTTTATCGTAGCCGTAAAGAATTCTTTTCGAATTGTTGTTTTCGCGAAGCGTTGTTAGAATCTGCGCATGTGCAGTGTGCCTGTTTGTCGTTACCATGGCAACGGATTGTGAAGCAGCACTAGGCGACGGTGCACGGGCAGTGACGGGCAGCGCTAATTCCGTACTTCGAACGATCGAGATCAAGGTGCGTATATTCCGTGTGTTCCGTGGACTGTGTGTTCGGACGCTATTTAGTGCTAACAACCACATTCGACGTTGGATGCGAACGCGTTCGGATCCAACATCGAACGTGTTTCGTTCCGATTATTTTTGTCGATTGCATCACAATCGGCCGCCACTAGTTTGCCGCCGCTGGCCTTTAGTGTGCCATCAGTGTACATACATACATACACGAACACTGCTTCTTATGGCCAATTTCTTCACCGTCGGATAACTCTATCCTTCGGTTAACCTCACTCTTCATCTTTTTCTAAGGAGGCAGTTAGAAAGAGATGAAGAGTGAGGTTAACCGAAGGATAGAGTTATCCAACGATGAAGAAATTGGCCCTTAGGAAGCTTTCTCTGTTTTTTTTGTCTGCCTCTTCTCTGTTTCTTTCTTTTTTCTCTACCTGCCTCTTTATCTGTTTGTCTTTTTTCTCTTTGTGCTTTTCTTTCTTTCTTTTTCTTTACCTGTCTTTCTCTTTGGCTGCGTTCGTTTTGGGCGCTCACGCGGTGTAAGCTTCATTATATCTTTATCGCTCACTATATGCAGAAGGAAGATAGAATAAAGCTTACAGCATGGAGGTAAGAATAACAGGAGGGAGCGTAAACTGCGGAGTATGAAGCCGGAGACGTGAGAGGAAATCGTATTCTGGCCATCTTGATAATACATAACTTAATTCTTCTTCTACCAAATTAAGAAAAAGAAGGATAAGTTATGTACTACCAAGACGGCCGCTTATGATTTCCTTTCACTTCTCTGGCTTATTCATACCTCTCGCCTAAAAGCTTGGTTTACGCTCCCTCCTGTTATTCTTACCTCCATGGCTTACAGCATGTAAACAGCCAAATCAAACGCAGCCTCTGTTTCTCCGTATCTGTCTTTTAATTATTATCTTTCTTTCTGTCTCTTTCTTACAGGCTCTGATAGTTTTCACCAGTTCCATTAGCTAATCGGACCTCAACGTGTTACAACCTGCTACACGGTAAGGACATTTTCAAATTTCTTGTAATCCTGTTTTTTTAATATCTTTGATTATTTGCGTATTGCATGCCTAAAAATGTTTGTAATAAATATAAACTTGTAAAAAAAATAAAGTTTAATAAAATTAAATAACATTTAATAATAAATTCAATATTATTAATATGTAAGAAATGAAATAAATAATACTGAAATTTAATTTAATTTAAAAGGATATAATAAAAATCGAATAACATTTCATTTTTAATTGTGCATTTATAGAATATTGTGATATTAATTATTATGTCTCTTTCTTACAGGTTCTGTTGTTTCCATCAGTTTAAATCAGTTAATCGAACATCGACGTGCTACACGGTAAGGATATTTTTCAAATTTCTTGTAATCCTGTTCTTTAATATCTTTGATTATTTACGCATTGCATGTCTAAAAATGTTTAGAATAAATCTAAACTTTTTGTAAACTAAAATAAAGTTTAATAAAATTAAATAACATTTAATAAATTCAATATTATTAATAATAAGTAAGAAATGATATAAATAGTATTGAAATTTAATTTATTTTGAAAGGATTTAATAAAAATCGAATAATATTTCATTTGTAATTGTACATTTACAGTATATTGTGATATTAATTGTAAATAACTCATTTCATTTTCACACTCATTTTCAAAGTTACAAATTTATTTTATTATTTTTAATAATCTCTTATGCAAAAGGAATATTAAACTTAACTTTTTACATTTGTAAAATATTTACTTTATAATAAAATTAATGTAAATGTAGACATTGTTTTACTTGATAAAAATGATCTTAGAAATACAACATTTTAGTTTATTGTATTAAACTTTATTTCATTTCACAGAGAGATTTAGATTTCACAAAAAGATCACATTTAAATTTATATAAAAGTTATTGTTGAAATATTATATTTGTTTAACCTTTAAGGTTAATTTTTTAAATAGGAATTTAATCGGTATTACGTTACACACTATTTCATTTATCAAAAGGAGAATCTGAATTAACTTCAGGATTTAATATTGAATATATAACAAGAAGATTCCCAACAATTGTTTTGCAAAATATGAGAGAATTATTTAACTGAAAATTTTTAAAATAATAAATTAAAAGAAGTATTTAAAACATGAACTTGTTACCATTTGTCCCAATACAATATATTGATCTTCAATTCATTTTAAACCAATTCATTGTAATAAAATCACATTAAGGCCAGAATTTTTTTCATGAGATGTGTTCAAATTTTCACATTTTACATGATTTCCTGCCTAAGGGAAGTGTAATGTGAAAATTTGACCACATTTTATGAAAAAAAATGAATTTTTTGTAAATTTCTTTGTATAAGCAATATTACTAAAACATTTATTTTTGAATGTTTTGAATATATATTTATCGAGCCACTAGAAGTTTTCGTGTTCAAAATATACTTTCAAATGACTTTCGTACCATGTGAACAAACATTCATAGTTTGGTCCAAAATACAGAGAAATCGGGAAAGTTAACATTTTAGCAAAACTGTTTCATTTACATTTTTCGTAACAAAACCGCAAAAGGCGTTTTTCCATAATTGAGTTCACACCCAACAGTTTAAATTTCGAATTTTTAAAATCCTGAATAAAAAATCTGAAGTGTATTTAATTTATATGAATTTTTGATGTGAATCTTTATATGAATCATTTCTGCATAAACTCCCGTAAGCTTATTATACATAATCAATATCAAAGTTTTTCGTAACATTTCTATACGTTTCAACCGGGAAAAGGTAATAAAAATGTATAATACTTTATTTAAAAAAGTTTGTATTGCTACTGAGAAATTTAATACCGAACAAAATTTATATATATATGTATATATATATAATGAACATATTCTATTCTTCATCTTCAATTTGTTGCTTTCAATAAATTGCTACTGTAACTATTGTTTTTTAACTTAGAAGCATGCCAAAGCGGAAAAGATACGGCGACTTGTCGAAACGTCAAGTTTATCGCCGGCTCGCTGAACAACGGCAAAAAGATATGATACTTGTAGATAGTTCGTCTTCGATCGATAATGATATTAATGTACGTGGGCTTACGGCTAATGTTGAACACGAGATACACGAGGACATCTTTATTTCTACAACTGAAGCGGAGTGTAGAGAGGCTGAAAATTACCGCCAATTCAGAATTAATACTGCAAATACCTATCAAGAAAATCTTATTGATATTCAGAACATTGAAACAGCTGTGGAAAACTGCATTGCACAAATTATCGTGCCGGAAGATATAGGTTGCAACAGTGACTCGGATGAGGAAATTCAAGAGAATGATCCAGCAATTATTCCTGAAACCTTCGATTTTAAACAGGAATTAACATCGTTCGCTTTGGATACTCAAATAAAACATGCTCATTTGAACCGCCTCTTAAAACTTTTGAGAAAAGCGGGACACGAAAACTTGCCAGAAGACGCTCGTACTCTATTAAAAACACCGCGTACTTCTAGTTGTCAAATTACTCAATGTCCACCTGGAGAATACCTTCATTATGGATTACAAACAGCTCTCGAAGAACACTTGCGTGAAAAAACATTTTGCATTGCTGGGACGGAAATTAAAATCGATTTAAATATCGATGGTCTACCCATAGCGAAATCCTCTGGTGCAAGTTTGTGGCCAATTTTGGGAAAAATTATTCACGACTCTTTTAAGACCCCGTTTGTTATTGGAGTATATTATGGCGTTCAAAAACCACATTCACTTGACGACTATCTAACGCCTTTTATAAATGAGTATAAGAGATTAAACAATGAAGGATTTGTCGTGGATTCGAAGAGATTTATTGTAACAATAAGGTGCATAATTTGTGACAGTCCTGCGAGGTCGTTTGTAAAATGTACAAAACAATTTAATGGGTACTTCAGCTGCGGATTTTGTATCGAAAAAGGAGATTTTATGAATCGAATGGTCTTTCTTTCTGAATCAGCACCTCTACGTACAAATGAAAGTTTTAGGAACAGAACAAATGAAGAGCATCATACAGGTACCTCACCATTTGAGTCATTACTTATAGATATGATAACTCAATTTCCGCTCGACTATATGCATTTAGTGTGCTTGGGAGTTATGAAGACATTGTTAACAATATGGTTGGATCGTCGTAAAATTCCAACATTGAGTGCCGAGACTGTACACAAATTATCTGATGCGTTAATAACTTGTGCACAATGGATGCCCAAGGAATTCAATAGGAAACCTCGAGGATTGCAGGAATTGCATCGCTGGAAAGCCACTGAATTCCGAACTTTTTTACTTTACTTGGGACCGATTTTGCTACAACCAATTCTTCCTAAAAAGTATATAATCCATTTCAATGTCCTAAGTTGCGCGATGCGGATACTGTGCGATCCACGTGATTGCTATGTCAACAATAACTATGCCAAAGAACTGTTGGTTTACTTTGTACAACAATTTAAAATCCTTTACGGAGAACAGTATGTCACGAGTAACGTACATAATTTGATCCATTTGAATGAAGCTGTAAAGACATTTGGCCCACTAGACGGCTTTAGTGCTTTCGATTTTAAAAATTATATGCAAATTTTGAAACATCTGCTACGAAAACACGCGAATCCATTGCAACAAATTCATCGGCGATTATCGGAAAAAAATGGTCAAGATAAATCTATGCAAATGATAGAAACCACGAATATTAAGTATCCTCTAGTAAAGAGACCACTTAGGTCGAAACTTCCTATGGATTGTCACAGCGAGCATCGAGTTTTACAATTCAAAACTTTCGAAGTGTCAAACAAAAGGCCAGATAATTGCTGCTTACTGACTGATGGAACTATCATCTTCATCAATCATATTGCATTCCGGGGAAATGTTATTATAGTTATTGGTTGTGAATTTTTAAATAAAGAGGATATTCAAAACTATCCATGTTCATCGAGCAAAATGCACATTTATAAAATAAAAAATCTGTCACCACCACAAATATGGCCTGCGGAACAAATAAGCCGCAAACTTTTATTAGTAACGTTTGAAGAAACCCAATACGCAATACCGCTTTTGCACCATTAATTATATATATATATATATATATATATATATATATATGGAACCCATTTTTTCGTAGATGGTGCAGTATTTTGTCGTCTTTTTCGATGAATTTTGTAACCTTGTTCCTGAAAATTGGGTTAAATCTAATTCTAAGTCCGTTTGCTGGCCTCCGAAGAAAAAGAAATTTACGAAACAAAAGATGCATTTACTCGAACCAGACGGCGAGTGGCAAGATTATAAATATCATAAATTGCTGGGACCATTCGGTCGGTATACTTTTATTAAACTATTTACACAGATAATACTTTGTAAAAGAATTTGTAAACTAATATACCCTTATATATTTACAGAAACATTTGAAGTAGCTAATAAAGTTGAAGAGCATTGTATGCAAGCTTCGACGAATGAAGATACCGATGAAACATGTTCCAAAGCACTATCTGGAACGATGAACAAACGTGTTGGTAGAAAGCCTCCACATTTGGAAAGTGCGTCAGAAGAAGAAGAAGAAGAAAAGACAAGTGCGTCAGAAGAAGAAAAAGAAGAAAAAGAAAAGAAAGAAGAAGAAGCAAGTAATGTTGACAGGAATATTTACAATTTACAATACAAATAATTCTAGATAATAATATAATAGTACATTTTGAATTAATTTCCCTTCTTTCTGCCTACATATTACATATGTGGTACTTCATGTTCGTATATATTTTTGTTGACAATTTGATAGAACTAAATGAGGCGAACAAAGGTTCCAAAAATAATTCAAATTCGGTGTTTGAGAAGGAATTGTCATATGCTCAAAAACAAACAAAGAGTAAGTTGCCTGCATCTGGACGTATGGACTGCGACTTAACGTGCCATGTGGGAGCGGTAACGAGCAGTAAGGCGGTAAAGTCTGTTCGTAAGTATGAAATATATCAATTACATTATAAAAACATAAAATCTCACATGTTATTCAAAATAAAAAGTATTTTTAGGTGAGGGTACGAAATTATAAAAATTACATTTTTATAAATAATGTTACAGTTAAGCCCCCAGCACAGAAATATATTTCGACAGGTGAGGGATCATCAGTGCCCATGAAAAAACGTAGAACAGGTAATATTAATTATTATGTCAGTAATCGTTTCCGTCGGCACTTCAAATGAAATGGGTAAATTAAAAGGATAGGATAGCGTGATAAAATAAAAATGAAAACTGTTCGTATAATATATAATTCAAAGTTACCTCACATAATTATGGGTAATAAAAGAAAGTAATTAAAAAAAATTTTTTTGCCTGATTCATAAGTACAATGTCGAGATGTGCTACCATTTAACCATTTTTTATCAGTCGATAGCCAAAGCTTCCTACGTTTAAGTTTTTACCGGATAGACGTGAAATTTGAACTACATCACTTTGGAACCTGACAAACAATGTTTTTTTTACTCCACAGATTTTAAAAAAATTAACATTTGAAAACATTTATTTATTTCAATTTTTTATTATTTTACATGGTTTTTTTTTATATGTTTTTTATAATCTCAGGAGTAATATATGAAAAAAAACAAAAACGTTACTGTTTTTTCCAGGGTTCAAAAAATATGTAGTTCACATTTAAAAAAATTTTTTAAACAATGTTTTTGTCCCAATTGTGATAAAATAGTGATGTTGAAATAGTGTCTTTGACAGTTTTTATTAATGTAACTTTTCACCTTTTTTCACAATACCAAATTATTTAAACAAAAAATTAGAAAATTGATAAGTTTTAAATCCCTTTCCTAGTTATTTCAAACATTTACAGCTCTAATGTTGCAATAATAAGGGTATAGTCATATTATTTTTATTTATTTACAGATGATCAAAATTCAGCTGCAACAAATGTATGGGAAAGCGGAGATGATACGGATACCACACAAACGAACGAAAGTTGTCGAACCAAGACGAACGAATCAATGGACTCGACTGTAAGTTCAGAAAATGATCGTGCACATGGTTTGCAAAGAGGAGAGCGCGGTCCAGCTACCACCAAGAGGAATACTCAGTCAGGTATTGCTATTTTAATAGAATAATATTTATGTATAATCTGACCCTGGCAGTGCTAAACAGTTTTAATGAAAACGTCTGCAATTATAAAATATTCATATTTGTATTATATCTAAATAAATGTAATGGAATCGTTAAGGGGAAACTGTAATTTACTATTGCTATTTCATTTTAATATGTTATTATAATCACGATAATTTCACGTCAATTTGATTTTTATTTTATCGAATAGTTTTGTAGTCATGAATAAGGCTATAAAACTTCCCATAATGGAAACTTTCCATATGCATAAAGTTTTATTCAAGATTCTTTGTGCACCGGAGAACAAGAAATATATAAATTAAGCAAGACAATGTATAGCTACCGGTTAAATTATGACAGCATATTTGTTCGAAAATGTTATTTTTATTATGATTTTTCCAGTATATTTTTTATATATATATGATATGGTTTCATTCAACATCTACTTCTTATCCCAACAAATGAAATAAGATTGAAAGGAATTAAAAAAGAATGGAAAAGAATTAAGTTGACACAATTGTTTTATCTTATTTTAAGTATATCGATACTAATCAAAACATACCAATGAGTCTTACAGTAGAGTTTCATTTTTCATATGTATTTGAAAATATAAAAAAGAAATGAACAAAAATACTTTTCGAACATTTAATTAATTCAACCGATAGCTACATTATATCGTCATTAATGTATACCTTTTTTGTTCTCTGGTACACGAATAACTTCCGATATCCCCTTTTGATCGCCATATGGGTTCAATTTTACATATTTTATATTGTCTATGATTATATAAAAATACTCGGTAAAATAAAATACAAATAATATCCATAAATAAATATCCACCTCGCATTTGTTGATAAAAATATGTACATCTACTTCAGAACCGATGACTGTGGGACAGTTCCTAAAGTATTATAAACAGATGGAATCAAAATTGAATCATCTGATCAGTTTGCAAGGTCATGGCAGGCCACTGCCGCAGGAAGAGCAGAATCTTTTACCAGAATTTCCACTGGAAAATAACAGGGAATTAGAGGATTTTGATGCGAATCTGTCACAGTCTGCTGATGTTCGAAGTCAATTTGTAAGTTTGCATTGTTTTATATGTACAAGTATAGACATTATATATGCTATCACATTTTCTGATTGTATATATATACATATATATATATATATATATATATATATATATATATATATA